ATAATAAAATTGTGGGAACTTTGCATCATCATTTAAAAAAAACACCACCGCACGCCACTGAGTACAGTGTAGTTTTATCGAGCAAACAGCAGAAACGGCGAGAAAGACCATGGCAGCTGCCACGAACTGTGGCAGCTGCCAGAAACGACTAGTGGCAGCTGGGGATGCCACCGGAAGTGGCGCTGCTACCTGCCACTGCCAGGATTTGCTCTTGCTCTCTCTCCTCTTATTTTAGCACCTGATTACAATTTCTACAAAATCACATTATGATTTATATCGTTCGCACAAAATACAGCTACCACGAACACACAAGCTAAGAGATTTCAGCTAGTGTTGCTTTCGTCAACGAAAATTATGACCAAATATCGTCGTCAACGAACCTTTATTACGTGACGAAAACGAGACGAGACGAGACGAGAAGAAAATGCTGGTCCTGTGACGATGACTATAATTAAATGTATAACGACTAAATGTGGTTTACAAAATAAAAACTATGCTAAAATGTCTCTTCATTTTCGTTGACCAAAACGAGACGAAACGAAATGTTATAACGTTATTTCGTCTCGTTTAGTCGCGTTATTATTATTATTTTGCAGTATTTCTGTTTCCTCTGTCTCGCTTCAGGGGCTGCATCAGGTCACACTGCGCAGACGCAGGCGACGTCACTTCCTCAAGCCCCACTCGCGGCAGTGTCTCCCAACCGGGGTGCCGCGTAAAAAATCCGTTTTTAATATTTTTAAATTGCTAAAATGTTCAAAAAAAGCAGCTATTATATAGCTCCATAGTTTTAAGAGTGAAGCCCACATTTTCACACATTCCCTTCTGAAATGCATGAAAGGAAGCTAGAATATCAGCAAACGCTGCACAGATGCTGCATCTCAGCTAGATGCATCATACATCTGCTTCGTTGAAGCAACATGGGAGAGAAAGGAATAAGAGGAGAGGAGGATTTCAATGGAGAAAGTAGTAGATATTAGGCTGTACGGCTAGTATTGTTCAATACCAGCCATAATTCCATCCTCCAAAAGATCTAATAAAGCAAATCCACTTTTATGGTTAAAGCAACTATGGAGATACATTGGAGATTACACCGGAAGTCACCATATGTCTCCTTTTCTAATACGGAAGTGGGCGTGAATAACAGCCACATTCAGCAGCATCACAGCATCGCAGTAGACGTCTGTAATTAATCACTGCAACCTATTCATTTCGGATTTAAATACATGCAGATCAGCTTTATTTCATCTTTATCTCAGTGAGATACCAGTAAGTGCGTTTGTTTCGCCGTGCCGCCGTTGTACGGGCTCATGCACATGATAGTGTTTGTTGTGGTAAAATCGCAGCGATCAAACGTGCTGCGGCAAAGATGCAAAATGTTTTGACCACAGCAGGCTTCGAATAGCATGCTTGCGCACTCTAAAACAACATGGAGGAACAAAAAAATACAGTAAAATAGTGGCCTATCCATCCCATCGAGCACAACAGTGAAGCATGCAATGTATTTATTCACAATGGGTTTTGTCGCGCGCGCTGGCCTGCAGTCGCAAATGCATAACAGACGGTCCCAGTGTTTGTCATATTGTGCATGCAGATGTGTACAGCTGCATCCCTTAGGTAAACCAACACACGTTCAGATGAAATGATGAGTGTAGTGTGCTTACGTAATATTTGTGATCGATAGGCTGTATTCTCATAGAAAATATTTTTATTTGTTTTATCCGTATTTATAAGGATCTCTCTATATATTTCCAGCTGTTAAGAGCCCTTGGAAATATGAGCCAAACGTCAGAGCCTTCAGCCGATGCTGCTGTGACTGAAGGTTTGGATTTTTGTTTATTAGTTTACAATGGAAACAAACCAAATTCGTCAAAATACCATAGTTACAGATATTATTTGCTAAAAGCATAATAAATTGATATGACATTTCATCTGAGTATATAAGACGCGTTTATAATCATTTTGCTTAAAGGGATAGTACACATTCGTTATCAGTGCTGGGTAGATTACTTACAAATTGTAATTCGTTACACGTTACAACTGACCGGACGTTGTAGTTAGTAACGTATTCTGTTAGATTAGATTTTAGGTAATGTAGCCTTACTACTTTTGACCTATCTTGTTTATCACATAGATTATATAATAGGATTATTTTGTACCATGTTGAAAAAAGAAAAATATATATATTCCAATTCTTTATTATTAACAACATAAAGTGTATTAAAAATCATTGTTTCCCAAACTGGGATTTGTGAGCTAATAATAATTAATTAAATAATATAAATGCTTTAAAAATAAAAACTGCACTTGAACATTAAAAATAGTAATATTTTTATATTTGGTTACCTGCATGTTGGTGTGACCATTAACCAACATCAGAGAACTGTGAACATGCAAATGTCTTGTTAAATTATTGAAATATTAATTTTAAATCCCTGGGGAACTATTTAAATATTTTAAGCCAAGGTAATGTGTGAATAAAATGTGATAATGTAATCTATAAAAAAGTCATTGGTAATCTGATTATAAGATTTTTAAAGCTTAATGAATCTAATTGCAATTCTGATTATGTAATCCAGATTACATATAATAAGTTACTACCCAGCACTGCCCATTACTTATTCACCCTCATGCTGTTTGAAAACTGTATAGCTTACGTTCTTCTGTGGAACACAAAATGAGTTGTTAAGGAGAATGACAGCCTTGATCATTTTTATTGTATGTTAAATGAAAGGAAATGATGCAGTAAATCTTTCAGCCTCTAACGTTCTGCACAACATCACATTTTGTGTATACATGGCTGAAGTTTTGTTTTTGAGTGAACTGTCCCTTTAAATTTTTCATGGCAGTAGTTGCCGGTATCAAGTTACCACTATTTTGTTGTGGAAACAGCATCTGTAGTAACTGTGGTATTTTGACATAAACTGTGGTAAATGATTTAGGTCAACTTGTATGTTTATGTATTTTTCACCCACCATTCATGTATCCAGCTCCAGTTTCTCAGTCTGAAACCAAGCAATCACCAGCAGGGAAGAAACAAAACAAAAAGAAAGTGGAAGAAGTGGTGGAGGAAGAAGAAGAGTATGTTGTGGAGAAGGTTCTGGATCGGCGCGTGGTAAAGGGAAGAGTGGAGTATCTCCTCAAGTGGAAAGGCTTTACTGAGTGAGCCGCCGCAATTGGATTTCCTGTGAATCTGATTTTGTTGAAAATCCTGGTGTTTATTTCATTATTTTTTCCCTCAGCGTGGACAACACCTGGGAACCAGAGGAAAACCTAGACTGTCCTGACCTCATAGCAGAATTCCTTCAGTCACAGAAAACGGCTGAATCTGGAGGCAAGAGGCGGGCAGAGTCAGACGGAGATGGAAAGGAGACTAAAAAGCGCAAGGATGAGGTAAGAGCCATGAAGATCTGAGGATCTGAGATGTCTACATCATTCCATGTCTATAAGCTGGTCAGGAAGTGTCTTTAAAACATTAGAAAACCAACAAAAAATTGAATGGGCTAAACAGTGTCTTACATGCCATCTCTCTTAATTTAGCCTGAGAAACTCAGAGGTTTTGCACGTGGTTTGGATCCTGAGAGGATTATTGGTGCTACAGACTCAAGTGGAGAACTCATGTTCCTCATGAAATGGTTTGTATGCAAATTGATTAGAGCGACAGTTCCTGAGCAGCATTAGGAGAGACTGGGGGCACCTGTAACACTCGAAATTTCTTCAAAGCGCATCTATTTAGCATATGCTCTGCATGAGGAAAAGAGTTTTTTTTTCTTTTGCTATTAAAAGTTTTGATGCCTTCAAATTGAAACTATATCTGTCAACTGGTTGAAAGTTAACGAGAATGAAAAATGTTAACATTTCGGGGATATTTGTAACACTAGAGTGAATATTTAAAATGTGTAAGAAACGTTACTTTCCTATCGTTCAAAAGTTTGGGGTCAGTAACATTTACTTATTTTTGTTGAAATAAATTAATACTTTTATTCAGCAAGGATTAATTAAATGACAGTAAAGACATTTATAATGTTACAAAAGATTACTGTTTTTAAATAAATGCAGTTCTTCAAAACGTCCTAAAAATGTTTCACAATTTCCACAAAACTGTTAAGCAGCGCAACGGTTTTAATATTGATAATAATAAGAAATGTTTCTTGAGCACCAAATCAGCATATTAAATCATGTGACACTGAACGCTGGAGTAATGACTGTTGAAAATTCAGCTTTGCATCACAGAAAAAAAATTACATGCTAAAAAGAATAAATTATATGATAAAAATGTAAAATGTTAAAATAGAATAGAAATTCAAATAGAAAACATAAAATTGAAAATATTTATATATTTATAAAACAGAAAATGTAATAATATTTCACAATGTCACTGTTTTTTATGTGTATTTTTGATCAAATAAATGCTGCCTTGGAGTGCATAAGAGACTTCTTTTAGAAACATAAAAAATTCTTACCGACCCCAACCTTTTGAACGGTAGTGTGTCTAGTTTTAGATGAAGTTTTGGCAGATGCTTTTATCTGAAACAAGCAAGCGAACAGTCAGTGTATTTAAGGTATACATGGTTTATGCGGTATACAAGTTTATGCATTCCATAGGAATGGAACTCATGACCTTGCCATTACTACTTGCTAGATTTTTGCTAGATTTCTGTAAAATGGTTTATTTTTACTTTAAGTATTACAATTGCCCCCACTCACTGTTAAAGGGGTATTTCATCATTTACTCACCTTCATGTTCTGTGGAACACAAAAGGGGGTTTTGTGAGACATTGAGACCATTTTCGGACTATATTTTTTTGTGTTCCTGCAGAAAAAAGAAAATCATACAGGTTTGGAATGACATGATGCTGAGTAAATTGACAGAATTTTCATTTTTAATGTGAACTATCCCATTTAAGTGTGGCCATTCACTCACATTCATACACATGTGAACGCGAGAGAGTTGAAATGCAAGCTTCATCTTCATTCTGGATACTAAAGTTCAAGTTCGGTGAACTCTGACCTGCACATTCATACAGCAAAAAAGACATTGGACCAAACATCACAGATTGATTTCTTGGCTCAATACTAAGAACACAAACTTGCTTTTGAATGATTTTGTCTTTATTATAAACAGATGAAATCATATCCTGTTGCCAAACTTCATTGCCAGATCCAAATCAACTTCACATGCTTGAAATGTAGTCATACCCTTGCAATCACCTCCATGGAATTTTAATATTATGATGTTTACATTATAATAATATTAGACTTAATGGAACTGTTATTTTGGCACATATACCAAAAGATGGCTGGTATATATTGAGTTGTCTGTGAGTTGAAGGAAATGTAAATGTTACAATTGCCCTCAGTTTTCTCTACTCAAGAAATCCATCTCGGATGAGAAATAGCTGATCAATTGTAAATGTCTTCTTTTGTATTTTTGTATTACAGGAAAAACTCTGATGAAGCTGATCTAGTACCAGCCAAGGAGGCGAATGTAAAGTGTCCACAAGTGGTCATCTCCTTTTACGAGGAACGTCTCACCTGGCATTCATACCCCACTGAAGAGGAAGAGAAGAAGGATGACAAAAACTAGACACACACAAAAAAACAAAGATGTAAGGGACCGTCAATATCAGTCATGGCCATTGGTATGCTTGTTTTGTTCTTCATTTTTTTTTAAGATGGCAAAGGAAAACTGTCAGAAACATTTGTAAAAAGCAACAGTATAAACTGTAATCTACATAGGTTTCAGCGTATTTTAGTTTGGGCACCGTTTCCATAGATGAAGCAAATAGAACACTGCTGTTTCAGTGTGCTTGACAGGTGACTTTGCACATTTAATGTACTCTTCATGCTTTCCATTGACGGAAACATTCAGATCATGTTTTGAAGGAGAATCACAGTCTGATATTCCTACATGTGAAATAGTGTTCTTTACATGTTAGAAATGTTGAACATTTACCCCCCCTACCCTGTGTAGATTATAGTGTTTAGTCTATCATACTGGGTCCGTTTCATTTGATGCTGTAGCTGTCTCAAAAAACGTCCTGATGTATTCCACAATTCTTTAATTTTATGTATATATAACTAATGTTAAAATATTACTGCCTTAACAGATTATTAAGAAAATGACATTTTTATACATCTGTCAATGCAGGTGGTCATTGAACGCATGACTGTATCTAGGCCCATGGTAAAAGAGGTGTAAGATATAGGCCTTATTCGACGTTCAGAACTGGCTTTGATACGATTGGTTTTATAAGGACATGCCAGCAGCTGTTAATCTTCAGTGTTTGTTTGCCCATGACGTGTCTGGTCTCACCATTGGTGCTATTTGTGAGTCAGCCCCATTGTCTTTCTTGACATTTGTGTTTGTAAGTATGTTTGCCATTTCCTAGCACATCAGTATCACTGTGTACAGTCAGCTGAAGTTTGGTTTTTACTTTGATACGTTTGTCTTATTACTGTTACACAACAAAGTAGAAGATCTTTAACATTTGTTCACCTGTAGACATTTAAAGTACTTTTTTATGTTCTAAGCTTTAACGATTGTATGCTAGTTTTGTTTAACCATATTATTATCGCACATTATCAGAGCATTTGCCAATGAAATACCATTTTCAAAAATAAAAATCTTTGTTGTATTTCTGTCAAAATTGGTCATACTTATTTATGCTTATACTTACTCTGAATGAGGTCAATGGCCAATACTTTTTAATCTTGGTGAAATATATTATCTACATATACTGGGATTCCCTTTTTTCCCCCCAGCTGAACCCCTTTGACATGAAATATTTTTGTGAAGTACCACCTGAAATTTGAAGTTAATATTTTAATAATTTAAAGATTTTCAAAACTAAGCATGATCATTTCTCCCTGATATCAGTTTATGGTCACATTACGTGCAGGTTAGTGTTTATTCTGTTTTTAAAAATGATTTAATTTTGCATTTTTATTATTTGATCATTAGCATTTCAACAACTCGTAACCCCCCTGCAGTTCCCTCAAAAAACTCCAGGGGTGCGCACACCCCAGTTTTGAAAAGCCTGTATTAAAGGCAGAGTAAGTGATTTTTCAAAAACACTTTAGAAAACTGATTCGGGCCGAATCGCAAAACAAACTTGTAGCCAAAATATAAACATTGGCTACCAGAAATCACTTACTCTGCCTTTAAAACATTTACACTACTACTTGAATTGGGTGAACAAGATTGTATGTATGTATTTAAGAAATTAATACTTTTATTGAGCAAGGATGAATTAAACGGATCAAAAGTGACAGTAAAGACATTTAGAATGTTACAAAGTATTTGTGTTTCAAATAAATGCTGTTGAACTTTGTATTCATTCTGTTCTCTTACAAAATATTACGCAGCACAACCATTTTTAACACTGATAATAAGAAATGTTTTTTGAGCACTCCCAGAGCACTTCTAAAGGATCATGTGTTAGAAAAAGGATCAATGAACTTATGACAGAAATAAATTATATTTTAAAATATATTACAATAAAAAAGTTAATTTCAATTGTAATATTTCACATTGTTACTGTTTTTAATTAAATAAATGTTATGTGAGCATAAGAGATATCTTTAAAAAACATTAAAAATTCTTACTGACCCCAAAGTTATGAAAGGTAGTTTATATTTCAAACATTAAACTTAAATAAACTGAAAAATAGTTTACTTATAGTATGTTCATTTATATTCGCCTAGATTAATGCTGTAAAAATTGCAATGTTCATTTAAAACAAATCACAAATTAAGTGATACCCCACAAAGAGTACCATTTTACCAAGCATTGAGAAGTGAGCAGCACACTGAAGCTGATATAAGCAAAAATTGAGTTTCGACAGCAACAAAGACAAAATTATTCATATTTATATAGATATGAGGAGTTTTTGCAGTATTACCAAATCCTATGATTTGTTCATAATCACAAATCTTCTCACTTTTTTTTCTTTTTTTTTTTTAAAAAGGAAAACCAAGGAAATGAAACAAATGTTTATTATAATTAATAAAAGAACAATTCCAGATTGCCAGCAAATCGCTCAACATAAGTCATATAGGAATACTCTGAACAGGCAAATTCAAAGAAGGTGCAAAAAGGCCTGGCTGAACCAAGCAATTAGGACAAGAGACATACAGAACACAAAAATATTTACAAACCGAACAAGACGAACAAAAACAGCAGTGCTTAATGGCAAGTAGTTATGACATTGTAACAGGGATTCAAGGTTCATCTAAGTGAATAAATCGCTCATCTTTTTTTCATTATCTCTACCCCAACTACGCTAAGTATTTGTAACCAGTAACATAAAGATGGTCTCTTTTCCATTTCTGAGACAAAAAAATTACCATGTCTTGCATATTTATTCATGTCACACCAAAGCAGACACTGACTGTGTCTCATGGTGATATATGAACAGTGTAGATGGAAACGACAGAGACTGACAGAAGAGGATGAAGATGAACAACATGTAAATTAGACATTCACACCAGTATTACTGTTTTTTTTCCTACCCATTCAATGATATGTCAGTGTATAAGGTCAGCTGTATCCTCAGGCTGCAGTAAAGCACGATCCAGTTGGTTATTGGCACAAGCTTAACTGCTTTAATTTGCCAGGAGACCATTCATGGCTTCACTCAATTAGAAATGAAGGTTCTTTTACTAAAAGTAGTGTATTGGGTAAAAGAAAAAAAAGTCAGGTTCACGTCACATCAAAGCTAAGACACTGACCCAGCTAATGAGAAGTTGTAGTTTAAATGTAATAATGACCTATGCCTGCTACTATTTGTATATTTTAGTGAGAATTTTATTCCTTTTTCAAATGACAGTAAAACTGTAACAAAAGCATCTCTTAACATTCCTCCACTGCAACAGACAAAAGCCACTAAGTTGCAGTAGCAACAGAGCATTTTGACCTGCAACAGAGCATTTTGACCTGCAACAAAGGCTAAACATTATGAACTTTAAAAGCAAATGACTCTGTTCGTTTCAATTAATCCTGCATTCCAAGACACACCGGACTCAATCACATGATTCAGGAACAAATTGCACTGATGCCACTCAGGTGTCCATGTCTGATGGCTTATTAAAGTTTATGCACATGGAAGAGAGTTACATTAAAAGCTGTCAGGAAGGCCTGAGAGACCCTTTCCCCAGCAGTAAAGGAAATAAGCTTTTAGGCAAACTACAGTGTTGATTGACAGTGCTGAAAAGGGTACAGAAGCTGATTTATTAGTAATAATGCAGTGTGTTTCCATCCTCCATCTGTACCTCCAATGCTTCTCATCAAGCCAAAGCTAAATTCAAACCAACTCTTTAGCGTTATTTGTTTCGCGGTCCCAAGTTCCTTGGCAAATGGCATTGACTCTACAGAGAAATCTCAGGTGAGTTTGCTGTCCAATAAGACTAACAAACTTATTTTGTTCTTTTTTAAGTGAAAATGTGAATTTGGATCCACGGAGTGACCTGTATGATTCGTTATGGGAACAACACAACCGCACAACACAACCTTTGGTTAGTATTGGCATGCCTGTGGTTTCTTTTGGCTTCACTTCTAGCGTTCAGTACTCTTTTTTTTACCAGCTCTCAGCTGGATCTTCCTCGCCCACCAATGAAATCCCAGGGTACGCACAAACACACAGCATGGGCTAATGCTGAAAATGTAAATTTTTGCATCCTCATGGCCAACGTCATCTTAGTATGGTGTATTATTGTCATCGACTACATTTTTGGGAGCATTCCTGAACAGTTCTTTTAATTAAGAACATTTTGTTGGTGTCCTTCATGACCTCGCGTTCTTGACAGTTCTTTCAGTTGGCATCTGAAAGTATCATGTTCGCTCGCATCTTTCTGTACATCAATGAGAAATCAGTACTACACACAGCACGTCTGCTTTAATGCCGCTTTCAGGAGAAAACTTCTGAACCAAAAAGGAACAAAGAAAACCCAATGCAGGAGGAGTAATCAATGATGCAATTTTCTTCTCCTCGCTAGAATCGTTTCAAAGAAAAAGGTTTCCTTTGCCTTTCGAAATACTTTGTATGGTAGTGCCTTTGCGAAAAATAAAAGGGCAACAGTTCGAGTTCCTCACTTCTTTTTGTCCTTCTGCTTCTTGTCAGGCTTGTTGCTTTGTTCTGTGGTCATGTTAAGAGGCATGAGGAGAACGCCATCGGGCCCATACTGCAGAAAGTACTCGCTGGCCGAGTAGGGTCTGCCTTCCTCGTCCCGCAGCTGTGCGAACAATTCCTGGGAAAGGCTCTGAACTTTCTGCTTCGTCTGTCTGATGCACTTACAGTATTCCATCTTCTCCTTCAGCAGCTGAGCCTTTTCGCGTTGCAGGTCTTGCACGCCCTCCTCGAGTTTGAGGATGGTGTCTAATTTGCGTTTACGGCAGTTTTGTGCCGCCATTTTGTTCTTTCCACGTCGGCGGATGTCGCGAATGAGCGAAAGCTGGTCCTCGTTGAGATGTTGCTTGGCCAGAAGCTCATTGAACTCCTCGACAGGGAGGTTAATGATCTTGTCATTGGAGAATGGGATGTCCATGGCCCTCGCCCTACGATCATCACGGCTAGACTGCCTGTCAACACAGTCTTGTGGTGGCTGGAGCTTTGTCTGCTGCATTTGCTTGTCTCTGCCTTTCTTGCTGCAGGATGTGGACAGTTGAGAGCGCTCAGAGTAGGATGATGCCAGTGGTAGATTGTAGGTGTGGTTGTGATTGACACTTTCCAACTGTGGTATGCCATGGAACTGAGAGGGATCTTGGTAGCCCATGCGGCACAGCTTGCTATACTCCGGTTGGTAGCCCCCGACGGCTCCTTCCTCTGCTTCTGCTGTGGCCGCCTCTGAATCGGTGCTGTATCCAACAGCTCCTTCCTCTGAGAATGTAGCCGAGGTGGATGAAGACGATGCGGCTGACGAGCAGGATGTGTCCGAGTTGCTAGGAGAGGCTGGGCTATGGCTGGAGTCCAGTGAAAGACCGGAGTCTGAATCGAGCTCATCCTCGAGCTGAGAAGCCTGGTCTTGGCTGAAACCCTCTTCCATTGCAAGGTCTAGCAGGCTAATTTCATCCAGCATAGACTCTTCCAGCAGGCTGGAAAATGGATCTGGCAGCACCGGAGTGGTGGTTAGATTAGTTGTACTGTTTAGAGGTGGTGGGAGAAAGAGACCGGTCAAGTTAGTAGCTCCAAACGTTGAATTGATGTTGGAGGAGTTGCTAGAAGAGAGCCTGACTAAGGTAGGCCGCTGTACCCCGATGGAATCCAACTCGGGGTTGAACAATGGGGGAAAGTCCTGGCTGCAGCTGGGAAGTGAAGCCTGGTGGAGACTAACATCCTGGTTAATGAGAGTGGACCGTGGAAGTCCAAAACTTCCTATTGTGGCTGAGTCGGTGGTGCTGGCATTGTTGTTATTGGGGTCATTATTCATGGAGACATTTACTGCAGTATTGTTCACCTCCATGTCCTATAAAAAGAGGTACTAAATGTTAGACTAATTTTAATGGTGTGATGCTCATGAGTATTGTCCAATATATTCATTCACACAAACAATGACTTGGATATATTAACATATATACAGGGCTCGAATTAAGGGGGGATGGGGGATCCACCTTGTTGGAAAAAAAAAAGACAAAAATCCTCCCCTCTGTAAAACCACCATCCCCCCTTACCATGCCTTTTAGATTAACATTAGGGGCTTTCGCACCGCGTAGTTCTAGGAACTAGCCAGCAGGGTGGTTCCTAGAGAACCAATTTCTCCCTTGGGCCGTTTTCCTGGTTGCATTCGCACCGGCAGCAGGAACT